CTTGACTTATGACGTCTACCGGGGTGGATGTTGCAAAGAGCAGACTTTCCAATCCGGCATGTGAAAGGAGGGAAGGTCTCTGCATCCTGGAGACGTTTTGTTCAAGCACCAAGTCAGCTGCAGCCTTGCGTGACCCTAAGCATGCAACTTCTGTGTCCAAGTTTTCCAATTATAAAACAGCCCTAAGCAGCACTTCCTGGAATCACAGGAAAACAAATTAGGGTTTTTATTACTAAACTGTTGGGACTTATTTGGGGAGAGTTGGAAGGTCAGCCTTCTCTTGATACAAAAGCATCTAGTTCTACACAGCCATTTTCTCTTCCAGACTAAAATGGAGACAGGCTTTTCCCTAACAAAGTACCTGAGTTTGTGAGTAGTTCCCAGTGACTTGTGTTTTGCAGCATGGGGCATTGGTTCGTATATACTTATGCTTATGAGCAGTGCTGATAATGCATGAAGTGTTAGAAGTGTTCTTTTGTGTTGGAAGGTAATTGTATGAACTGACACACTGACCCATTGTCACGTAAGTGTGTCTTGAGAGATGGATGAGACAGAGGCTACTAGTGTGTGGCCTGCAGTGCCCCGGACTGCCAGAGATCACCTCGAGGAACATGTGGGGTGCCATTTTATACATCTCTAATAGGGGCCAGTTGACCATGATTTTAACCTGTACTGATACAATGAAAGTGGTGAAGGTCCTAATGCCACACGATACATTGAGACAAAAAGTCCCAAAGAGCCAAACTAACTTCTGTAGGGGGTGGCAGGGGTTCTCTCCCTGTGGAGTTGGTCTGTACTCACAAGTATTCTTTAGAGCAGTTTCTCTGCCCTTGAAGAGAGAGGTTAGAGAGAGCACCCTCATGAGTAATGTGAACTCTGCAGAATTGCTACAAATATGAAAAGATTTCATTCTGCAGTTTGGAAAAGCAGCTAGTAATGTTTCTTTGATATAAGCATAAAAGGCTATTGAGAAGTTCTGGTGTTTGTTTTTTTTTTTTTTGTCAGCATTGTTGAAGTGGAAAAAGGGAATGCTTTTTTGAGCAAAACAGGCATTTCAGCTCTTGCAGGTGACAAGATTTAAATAATGAATTTGACTATGGGATGGATGGATTCAGACCACTAAATAGCAACACATGTTCTCTCCCTCGGGGCTTTCCTTCTGTGGTTTACCAACTGTGCCACAACAAAAGCCTTTCGCTTTGCTGTGAAAGTGAGTTGTTTCTTAGAGTCTTCCCACAAAGCTGCATCAAGTGGCACTTTGCTGTGCACGTGCTTAAGTTGCTTGGGATATGCAGTTCATGTGAGCTGCTGTCCTTAACTTAAGGAAATGGGGGGATGCTGGGACCCAAGTCCAGCACTGCCCTGGGACCGTGCAATGAGCTGGTTTCAGTTCTGGAAATGGGGAAGGTGTGTTATACCTCTGTTCTGCTAGGGGCTGGGCAAGGAAAGGATTTATCAGCCTAGGCTTAGTGCTGCACTCAGGCTACTGTGTGGCTTTCATCCAGTTCATTCAAGGTGTGAGCGAAAACAGAGCACAGATTGTCAAGTCCCCATATTGTGTCGCTCTCTTTTCATCTGTGGGCTTTGGAAAGGTGTGCTTGTACGCCCAGAAAACTATGTCTGAAAGTAAACCTGCCCCATTGGTTGGGAGCAATGATTTGGAGCGATGACTAGTCTTTATGTGCTGATAGATTTAGTTAAACATTCAGAAGAATGAATGGATTTTATTCAAATATAAACACATACATGACAAAACCCGTTATTACAAAACTCCCAAGTACTTTGAATTGTAACAAACAACTGTTACCTAGGATTTACTTGCCTCCGAAACCAGCTGGAAATCTAAATCAATTGAAAGTATGGATTTTGCAACAGCAGGCTGCTGCATTTAGATGTCTTCACTATGTACCATGAAATAACCGAGAAGTAAGAAAAATCCAACCAGCCTAATTAGTTTAACAACATATCATAAAGTGACTGCTAGGCTGTTTCTTGCACCTCTAAACCATTACAGCTTCTGGCAGTTGCAGAATCTGCAGGTGAAAAAGTGGTTTTAGTAAAGGCTTCTGTCAGTTACAGCAGTATGAAAAAGGCTGCACAAAACTTCATGTGATAGATAGCAAGGAAATGTCTGCAGGACTTCTTACTGAACCACTAGGAAATAGTTCACATCCACACAGATGACGCTTCACTTTTTTGAAGCATCTGCAAGCTTGTATGCCTTCCTTAAGCAAATCCCTTTTAGGGTTCAGTGAAGACTAGATATGGACTCAGAAAACATCTGACATATAGATTAATGGGTGTGAGAGAAGACAAGGAAAGACTGACATTTAAAGTAACTTAAGGCACCTTAGTAATCTTACCTGATAAATGTTGTCAGCTAAATGTCCTACAGAACAGGGTATGGTACAGATGTAGATTGGAAGACAACAAAGGACAAAAGTGAAATTGATAAATAAAACAGTATTTTTCAGACGTTGATTGGCAATATACTCTTTATGTTAATAGATAAAATGTCTTAAACTCCACAGTTGTACACAGTTATTTAGAACCTAGGCAGGAGCTTAATTCTTTAGTTGAAGCTTGGCTTGTTTCTTTTCCTAAACAACTTCCCTTCCCTGTTCAAATTGGTAAGCCTTGATTGCACCAAGTGAGAGCTGAACTGCCCTTTCTCTTAAATGCCATGGAAGCTGAGCCTGTGCAGCCCTCCCACAAAATACTAGCACAGTGGCGGTGCACAGCTACCCAGCTCAGAGCTTCCTCAGGGGTACTGCTTCAACAAAAGCTAACGGAGCTATTGCCAAATGTTTCTGGATTCCACATGATGGGAGAACAGGAAACCAAAATTTATTTTCACTTGTCCAGGATTTGAAAGCTGATCTTTATACAAAAAAAAAAAAAATCAGTCTTATCTCACAGTTGACACTAGAGTGCCTCTTATACATTGAGCTTGGACAAACAAGGCTGTGACTTATTCACAAAAGTGGTAGAATTTTAGTCTAGCAACTGGTGCAGGAAAAGCCAAGTGTTTTCAGGGCTCAGTTTAAAGTCATCATTGCCATACACACCATGACAAGATGGAGAAACTGCCCCATCTGAGCAAAAGAGCTAGTATAGATTCCTCCTTCTTCAAAACCTTATACTATGAGCAAAGTTGCTATTTTCAACTAGTTTCTCTTGGCTGACTGAGATGAAATAGGAAGGCACATGCACTGGCACATGGAAACTGTAGTTCCATGCAGAATGCATGAATGTCCAGAAACTGCTTTCTGGACATTCATGGAAAACACAGTCATGTACTCTCTACTTTCTTTTTGTGTGTGTCCATGTCCCGAGTTCAGCAGTAGCAGTCATTTTCCTCCTTCTTAGTAGCTGGTGCAGCGCTGTGGTTTTGACTTTCAGCCTGGGAACAGCACTGATACCACCAGTGTTTTTAGTTACTGCTCAAATATTTAGGCTGACCAAGGACTTTCTGAGCCTCATGCTCTGCCAGGGAGGGGAGGAAGTAGAGACAGGGCACCTGACCCAAATTGACCAAAGAAGTATTCCATACCACAGCATGTCATGCCCAGGATGTAACTGAGAGTTACCTAGAAGGGCTAGGTCACTGCAGGGTGGGACTAGGTATCAGTCAGTACTTGGTCGGGCGGGTGGGGTGAGTTATTGGTTGGCAGGTGGTGAGGTGATATATTCTCTTCCCTTGTTATTTCCTTTATCATTATTATCATTGGTGGTAGCAGTAGTGATTTGTGTTATACCTTAGTTACTAAACTGTTCTTATCTCAGTCTGTGGGAGTTACATTCTTTCAATTCTTCTTCCCATCCCTCCAGGAGCAGGGGGAGGGCAAGAAGGGGGGGAGTGAATGAGCTGTGTGGCTGGGTTTAAACCACAACAGTGCGTCTGTATTTTAGGGATGGGACACAAGGAAAATTTCGGTTTAAAAATTTCAGTTTAAAATCCTCCCTGGAAGCCACAGAGGAGTGCTTAAATAAAGACTAGCTGAATCAAGCAGAGCTTGACCACAGGTTTTATTGTATCCCGAAAAGGGGTAAGTCAAGGTAACCTGACATTAACATAGAGGGCACTGTTTCGAATTGGTCAGATTTCCACAGCCTGTTCTTTCACATAGTATGCACTGCCTTCTGTCAGAAATGGAAGTTCTCTTTTCAATGGAATATTTAGTAAAAACCAAAATGCTGATATCAAGTGCATCTAAAGAAAGCACACTGCATTATGGTAACATATTTAGTGCTTAACCTCATCAGAGCAACTCCCATTTTTGGAGGGCTAGGTCAAAATGTTTTACTTAATTCTGTACAGAATAACATGCAGCTGGTGAAACCAGACAATTAAAAGATGTGCTGTAGAGAGAAAAAGGTGGAAAAAGTCACAAATCTCATTTTGCAGAGAGTCCTTCAGTAGCTTGTTGTTTGGGGTTTTGGGGGGGGGATTTTTTGGGTGTTTTTTTCTTGTTTTTGTTTGGTTGTTTTTTGTTGTTGTGTTTTAGCTGCCTTTCTTCATATTCAGTAGTCATCATCAGGGTAAGGAGGCACAGCAAAGACTTCCCATGTTCCTGAAATGCAGTTACTTCTGCTACTAACAAAGTCCTCAAAGGTGATGAGAGACTGGGAACTCACCAGTTTTCCGTAGTTTGGTAGAGAGTAGCTAAGTCCCAGGCTTACTGCTTTCTTCAGTGCAGGAGCACAAACAACTGACAAACTATCACAGAGGACTGTCCAAAGTGGCTAACTGGTGTGGTGACACAACTGTTGTGCGGACAAAACCAGTGGCTGGAACAGAAATCCAGTGGATTTTTCTGTCTCTTGTGTTGGAGAAGCTTTTCTCTTTGCCATGTCTCTTGGCATGGTCTGCAGAAATCTCACTTGTATTACAGGTAATACTGCCACTGCAGTAAGGGGTGGTGCTTCTCCTGACACGTCTCCAGCTGTCCAAATTATTGGCACTTTCCATTTAGACAGGTGCTGTAACAAGAAACAACATTAAAAAAAAAATCCCCCCAAAATAACTGTCCTAGCATTGTCTTTCCTACATAACCAGTGAAACAAGCTGCAAAGGTATGGAAAAGAGATACTCATGCTTCTGAGAAAGAATCAGCTAGTGCAAAACCCTGCCTCTGCCTGGGTACCTGAGACACTAGGGACCCTCTGCCCTTGTGCCATAGAATGAAAGTGCCTCTCTTTGTGCAAATGCAAGAAGTGCTCTCCTGCTAACATCTCCCTCCCTTGTCAGTGTCACCCTCAGAGAAGAGGATGCACAAACCCTGGATGTGGTTAAGGGAAACAATCTTCCTGAAACTCCTCTACAAGTAGGGATGGGATCCCTCCAGAAACCAATTCAGAATTGCTCCAGCTCTGAATTTCTCCCCACTGACTGTAATGCGTGTTTGGAGAAACTAACCCCACCGGGATGAAGTTGCTCTTCTTTTCAACCTGCCTTCCTCACAGTTTCCAAAACTTTTTCCTTTGTAACAGCAAAGCTAGTCTCAATAGGCTCTTTTTTTTTGGTTTGCAGTATTCAGGATTCCCAACTCCTATGAAACAATCTGACCTTCTTCATAAAGTGAAACTGCTAAAAGCAGAAACTTATTTTACATCTGTATTTAAAAGCAAAATGTTGTGGCAGTGTGTCCCTGTGGGTGCACCTCCACAGTGCCTTACCCCTCATCCACTACATGCAACTTGTTTGAAAATATAAAATGATGACTGAATTAGACTAGGATGTATCCAAGAAGCCATCACAGTAGTCTCACAGTAGCGCCAGTTATTCTAAGGAATTTCTGACAGATACTTTTTTCCTTTTTCATTAAGGAAAAACAGAATAGCACCAAACCTGGACTGACAAGAGACTTAACAGCCTGCACAAACTCTTTGCCTCAGTACTCAACTACTATTACCCTTAGACAAGCATCTTTTCTTCCTAACATCTAACTTAAATCTTTGTTTCAGCCTGTTATGCCTTAAGTGCTGTGTCTGCTGGGTTGGAACAGCAAATAACTTGTCTCATCCTCTTTAAGGACTCGCTGAAGAGCGGGATTATTGTGTCCTTAATCAGCTTTTCTTTCTCCAGCTTATACAAGCATAACCAGTCCTTCATCAGAGGTCACGTTTCCTAGATCATTCTCGCTTCTCTGGTATTGGTCCAAGCTGCCCTCAAATTGGGATGCCTGAAACATTTGGCGCTGTCTTGATGGCAACAGGGGCTTCAGCATAGCTATAGAACAGGAAGGGAGGGTGCCTTAAGCCTGTATGCTCCATGTCCCTTGTTGATTTGTTATGTCCTTTGGCCTGAACTGCTGAAGAAACTTCTAGAAATCAAGACCCTGAGGCTGCCTTTGCCAACACTTGCAGAGCTCAAGGCAAGGGCTGACAGAAGCATCAGGGCTACGACTTTATGTGCTTGAGTTTATAATATCCAGTAAATATTATCCAAAGGCTTTGTGCTGAACTTGAGTATAGAAGCTATGAAGTTGAGTCACTCTTGAGACAAATACAGTAAAATATTTTTAATACTTTTAGTTACTCCTTTTTCTTTGTTTAGCTGGACATCTGTTGAAACAAATGCACTGTTTTAAGCGTGTCAGATAACTATCATCTTTAGCCAAATTGAATTAATATTAAGCAACATCCACTGACGTTGAGTGTTCAATGCTCTTTGGACATCAAAATGCAGTCCATGCTCTATTTGCTTACAAACTAGGTTACCATTTGAGCAAGGATCGGTTTTTGGAGCTTGAAGCAACAGTCTTGCTTTGTGTTTTGGGAAAGACATGAGTGGTTTCTGAAGGAATGGCATGGCTTCTAGCACAGCACAGCTGCTGCAGATGCTGGGCAAAATCACTACCCTGCCTTTTTCTAAAGCACCTGGGCTTGCTAGCCATGAGGAAGAGGGCACTGATTGAAAATGTGGTTTGTCCCTGTCCACAAAAAGCGTTGTTGTCCCTGCTCCCTCTTCCTAGATGTTACCTCTTGCATACCCGCAAAGCGGCTTACAGTAAGTACTCAGATAGATCATCTAGTTCACAAAATGTCTTCTACAGCTACCTTTTGTTCTCTCATGCCAAGCATTGTAGAGTCCCGCACATGGGAAAATGCATCAATACAATGGTATGTGTATATAACCTGGAGTGGCAAAACATGCTTTACTTCTAGCTTGTAGAAAGCTGCTCGATCCCAGTAGGATCTTGAACCCTTATTCGTGCAGCTAGTGACTCTAAAGCTCTTGGGATTGATTTATCCTCAGATTTCTGCTTTGGATCGTGCTAAGCAGAACAAACTACTGACCCCAGTCCTGCACCATAGAGGAGCATCCCCTCCATCTGCTCAGGAACAGGCTGCAGGCATCACATCTGAGAAACTATGGCCTGAAAAGGTGCAAACTCTGAGCTACTCTCACAACCAACAACTAACTCCTGTGAGGCTCAAGCACTACAGCAGAAAATATTAAAGAATAATGTGTCCTGAGGCATTACATCTGTCCTAGGTTTTTGCTAACACCATAATTTCCTGCTGTTGTGCACAGGCAGCTTACTTGTACCTTCTAGCCACATGCTGGATAACATTAAATATTTTGGCAAAAAAAACCCAAGAATTCTTCAGGTTTGGTCATGCAAATGAAAGGCCTCATTACCTGTGTAGGACTCTAGTCTAGCGGACCTCCGTCTCCTCAGCTAGCAGATTATTACAGCTAGAACACCTATCAGAATGACAATGGAAACGATGCCAGCTGCCTGAGCACCTTGTCCATTTCTTTTCAGGTTTTTGTGACTTTCCGTGCTACACCCATTGCTTCGCTTCTGCTGAGTGTCTAGAAATAAAATAGAAAAATAATGTACCAAGGTATAAGTTTTTACATTTCATACCAAATATTTGACCATATTTTATGCATAAAGTTCTGAAGGACTAAATATTTGTGCTATTCATATTACTGTGATTCTGGTGGTATTCCTTCTAAGAAAGGTACATCTCCAGCTTATTCTGTCTAATAATACAATGGCAGTTTATTCTTCCCTGTTATCATACTGCATGAATCCCTTTCTTCCTTCTTGTTCTTCTCGTCTGTCAATCTTGGGACACTGTATGTTTGAGCTTGTATATAGATTCAGTTGAAAATAAATTTATACAGAATCTATAATACAAATTTCATGGTATTCATAAAAGTGGGTGAAAACCTGTTTCCTTGATGTTAATGATGAATTTCCACTGATTGCTGCAGCTTGAAGTTTTAAAATATCTCAATGTTTCAAGTATGGCAATGCTTTTAGAAACCAACAAAAAATAGTAAGATGAATTCTGATTTAGCCAGAATACAATCTGAGGGAATGTTGTTAGGAAACTAATGAAAGGTTACTTAGTTTTCCTTTAATATGGGACGACAATAAGGGTATGCTATCATATAACCACTCTCATGTGCAACTTCTGCTCATGTGTACAATTTTTTTGTTCCTGGAAATAGTTGACATTATTTGGCTATGTTTGTGGGATCAGTATTGTTAAGTCAACAATATGCAATTCCTTGGTGTGTTCAGTTAAACATCTACAGTTATGCAGATCATCAAATCTCCTTGTGCCAGGGTGCAGAAACCTGTGAGTGAATGGTGTGGCAGGAAGCAGGACCAGTAAGAGCAATAAGCAGATAAGCTGTCCTGCTCCACATAGCTTCTCTACACAGCTTTTTGGAAATCATGAACTCTGCTGTTGGCACTGCAATTAAAACTTTCTAACAGCTTGGGGTTTTTTTTGTTTGGTGGGTTTTTTTGTTGTTGTTGGTTTTGGTTTTGTTTTTTATAGCTTTCTGGTTTTGTGAACAGTTGAGTAGCTAATGCTTGTTTTTACTATTGATCACTCCTATTAGCAATAAATAGAATATTATACTTGTGCTAGTAGGTCTATTGTTCTATGGGGCTAATATTACCTGTTTGATATAGGCATGCCTTAAATAGTGCATTGTACCAAACTGAATTTTGGAGACTGAAACAAGAACTTTGAAACTAGCAGAGTAAAAAGCAAATGTGAGTGCTGCAAAGCAGTGGGGCAGCAGTTTGGGAATCATGGATCTCTGGTATGGTGATCCCTGAAAAACAATCTGACTCCCATGTCATCATGCTCCTGATGAACCAATGGGTAAAGCCTAGTGACTGCGTTGGATGCAAGAGCTTCTCAGTGCTATTGTCTTAACACACTTGGTTCAATGTGAAAGAAATAAACAAAATCCATGGCTAAACATAACTAGCTTGACAAAACCTAAGCTCCTCTTGGCACTTTCTGGAACTTCTGAATTAATGCATACCCCTCACTAGTGTGTACCTGCACACAGAGACACGTTGGTTGATATCCCTGTAAGCTAGAAAACATGAAGTAGCATGAAGGGACTTACAGTTGGCTGATAGATTTTCCTATAGTATCTTATTTTCTATGGAGCACTCTACTTGCATGTTAGAAGTGAATTTAACCTTCAATGTGCTAAAAATGCTGTAAGTGCCATTGCTGTTGGGGATGATCATTAGCTCTAGTTAGCTCCAATTGTCAGTTTTATTCATCCATTGCCAGACCTGCAGCTGAAAGTCACCTCCTCTCCAGTGCTGTCACTGTTACTTATTGGGCCACTGAGTATTGGTTGGCTATAACTAGCTGGAGAGCAGGAGAAAAAGAATAGTTGTTGACGTGTCAAAATGTATTGAAAATATAAAATTTTGATGTGGGTTCTGAAGCAGAAGGTCTGGGTTTCACACCATCCTCATGATGTGAAAGAGAAACACCTGCAGGTTTGGTATGTAAGCCAGAGAGCTGAGAGAATTACTGGAAGGGCAGAAAGCTGAAGCCAAACTCAGGAAGAAAGCAACTTCTTAAGCTGCTGTTACCCAGTAAGCCTTTATATTACTGAAAACCACAATGAAAGCCCTACCACATGGGATAAACGGCTGTAATAGATTCTCACAGTTCTGTATTCCCTGTCTGTAACATTAAAATTGAGCAGGCTTCATTTCAGCAAAGGGCTGAACCATGTTTCAGAGTTAATGGTATGCTTAAATACAATATTGAAATGGCATGAATTTGGAAAGATGGAATGAGAGCTTGGCAAGTATGTGCAAGTGATACAAGTTCTTACCTGCTAAACTGAGAACCACTTCTGCGTGATGAACCATGCTGGTATAGTCAGCTTTCTCCAGTACTATACATTTGTATGTATGTTCATCACTCTGGCTGACGTTTAGTAATAGTAGAGAAAAATCACCATTTTCCAATCTATCCCAGAATAACCGAGTCCTGTTTTTAAAGTGAATACACTGTTTACTTTCATTGTCTTGACCAGAGATCAATGCATGTACAACTGTACACTCCTCTTTATCGTCATCTATTTGCCAGTATACCCGTAGATTTTTTAAGTGCAATTTTCTTCCTCGATAAATGCAACTCAACGTAGTGTTTTCTCCAGGTTTACTGACAATGATCTTCTCCAGTGCAATCACTACAAGATTAAAAGACACAGGAAAAAAAGGGAGGTTATGTGGAAGAGGTTTTACTCTTTTCAAGTATATTCTACCGTATGGGTGAACTCCAGTATTAGTACCTATACTAGGCAGATGAGCATGAACGCTTTATAGTCATTCCTACCTCCAGGTGTGCTGGTGACTAATTCTCTCCACATGTGTTTGTATTTTCCAAAGGGACATTTTGCAATGTAAAGCCTTCTAGTTATTTCCTTCTCTGATGACTAATTGGTCTAAGCATTCCCAGCCCCATGCTGCTCATTGCCTGTAGACATATACTCAAGTCCTAATACTTCAATAATATTTTTTTTCTTTTTAAATTAAGAAAAATGGCAACCACCACCAGGTGTAAATCACAGGAAGTGTAAAGACTGATGAGAAAAAGAGTACTGCCATTATTTTGAGACCCCCAAAATTATAAAGGGGGAGTAAAAGAGTGTTTCTCAAAGTGGGCATGTCATAGCAATCACATTTTATTGCTGCGGTTGGTGTCGCCTTCTCAACAAATACACCCAGCTGGGAAACCAGCATGTCCAGGTACCTCTGGTGATACATTCATTAGACATTTATAACCTCTTATGGCCACGTGAGGTAGGCCAGTACAGTGTCTGGCTTTCAGGACACTTCTCCTGGCCTCAGGACATGAGAAAGGCAGGCTCTCCTCCTGGAGAGCAAGGTAAAAGCATGAGCTGGCTGACAAGTGATGCAGAAAGTACAGGACAGTGACTCCCAGAGGGCTAGGGTGGTTCTGGCCACAGACTTTCTTCTGAGAGGGATGGGTCACCTCTCCTTCCTTCCAGCAGCCAAAACCTCTCGTGTAACTGGTTGCTGAGACCAAAGCAATGTGCATGTTGTAAATGCTGGACTAGAGGGTGGGGGGGGGGCATCAGACACGCAGTTGAATGGAAGACATTATAGCTGGGGAAAGGGATTATGTGGGTGGGTGAGCTAGGGAAAGAAAGATGACAGGAGTGAGGGCTTGGAACTGTGGAAACAATGCATGGTGAGGTGCGAGGAAGGCAGCAATGTCCAGCAGGGGCATGTCTTTGTGCTGGTGCACAAGACTCAAGAAATAGTTCATCTACACTTTGAAGTTGGGCACCCTGTCTTAAAAATACCACTGAAGCAAACATAGTACTTGCAGGGAGGAAAGTTATGTTCTCTGAGCCCTTATCCCCTGGTGGGCGAGACAAGAAGTAACAGGTTTGACCTGCAAGAAGGCTGCTACAGCTCAGACTTAAGCAGAAAAAAAACCCGTCACAGCAGCAGGAAAGTGAACCCCGGGAAGACAGGCACACCTCTGTCACTGGTGTTCTTCAGGAACAGGCCAGCTGGCATCTACTGAGACTGTATCTGGCACAGTTTGCCCTGATTTGGGGGAGTTTCCTTGATGACTTTGTTGGGCCCTTCTCAGTGATTAAGCAAGAACAGAGGAAAGACAACTCTTAAAAACATCTAAATATCAGCAGGTGATGTCATTTAACCTTATCTTTGATTTGAAAGGGATTTTTGGAACTGTAGTAAAAGACTTAATACTGACTACTTGATACTGCGATGTGTAATACTAGTCATAATATAAGTATGGATGTTATCCAAGCATGTTAGATCTGCTTATCGACAGCCCTTATTACCCCACTTCTAAGGCTTTTTGCTGGCTGAGATAAAGGTGCAGGGATGTCTGTGAAGCAAGCAGAGCAATCTGAGCAAGAGCATCCATAAGGTTCTTGCTCTTCTCCCTACTGAAACTGATAGAAAAAAATGGTTTTCTTCCTTCCCTGATGCACTTCAGAGAAACACTTCACTCTAAGGAATTCTTAAGTGTCTTGCTGAAAACATGAAGATGCTTATATTGTACCTATTACAACTACCTTGTGTATTTGGCCAAACGTATTAAAGAGAGTGCAGCTTCATTTTTAACTGTTCTGAACTTACCAGCTCTCATGGTGTGAAGGAACAGTAACAGAAATCCATAACTAAAATAAAAAGCAAAGAAGAGGTTACATGATTGACTTTAGCATCTCTGTTGTTTAAATAATCCATAAACCTAATATTGATTGTTTAATACAGTAGCAGAAGTAGGTAAATTAGGTACTGTGACTACATAATGTCCCATTAAGTATTTGCATTTCTGACAGCTGCAAAACTTCTGTTCAAACAATGTAACTCTATGGATGGGTGGCTGAGGGCATGACTAGCGGTAAAATGTGCTAATATTGGAATTGAAGCAGAAGGCATGAAGCTGGTGTTACACCTGCTGGATGCTATGGGAAAACCGAGTTTAACATAGCTATAAAATCCAGGTGATTTAACCCTTATCATATATGGCTTTAAGAAAACTAAATGTGCAGCCCTTTCCTAAGAGTTACTTTTAAATAGCCTTTCACCACTATGCCTATCCGTATGTTGTGGTCTCCTTCCTCAAGACTTCTGTGAAAGAAAAGCAAGATGCTGGAATGGTTTTGGAATGAGAGCTGTGTGGCTGCAATTGCCCACTTTGAGATTACCTCTCATGCAATAAGCTTGCTGAGCTGAGCAAAGGGATGCAAATGCCTTCGCATCACCAGATTTCCCAGCTCACTTTTGCAAGCAAGCAGGACTGTGAGGCCACACTACCCAGGTGTGTTCCCTTCCCCAGTTGTTCTCAACCCTCAGCTAGGTCCAATACTGAGCCAAGGGCTGAGGCAATGGGGAGTGCTGCCCTCAGAAGCCCACATCCACCCAGGAGTGAGCTCCATTGTCTTCCACTCAGACTGCTCTATGTTTTTCTCTAAACCAACCCTACCCTGCCTGACCCTCCTCCCTCCAAGCCCTAACCTAAGCTCATTCCCCCTGCATTCATTTCTCACCTCACGTTCCCCCATCAGCTGTGCATTAGAACATCCCCTCCCTCTTCCAGGCTTCCTGCCCTTTCCCCACAGTTCCTGCCACTTTGTCTAGCAGAGACTAATCCAGCACCTCCCAGGCCCAGCATCAGTTATGCCCAGCTTTACTTGTACCACCTGCCAGAGCACAACTTGGGTCTTCTCTGCTGTGGAGGAGGGTTGCTAACTCCCATCTGCCCTCTAAGAAAATTCTCACCTTTCCAAACACATTTGGTTTCCCATGGAGAAAGCAGAGAAAGTTCCTGACACAAAATGTACCTCCGCTTGAAGCCCGGACTCCAGAGAATGGGATGGAGAAAGTTTAGGGAACAGTCAGTCTGAACTGAAGAACATGAAGAAAGCATTTTCTTTTCCTTTTTTTATGTCCTTCGGAATGGCTTCATAGATGAGGTTTCAAAAGTTTAAGGGGATGCACAGTGTGGAACATTTCTACTCTGATACATATTTTGTAAATGTGCAATACTGTCAGGCAGCTCTGTTCTGTCTCTGTCAGTGGCTTTTGAGAGCTTTTACGTGTATTGTTTTTTTGTCATATTTTTACACTGCAAGAGCCATCACTTTTGTGCTATGCTTACATATGTCAGTTTAGACGAGTTCACCATAATCTAGTCCTTAATCTCACAGCTGTGTTTATTTTATTGTTCCCTGCCCAAGTTAGAACCTATGGGTATAGCAAGTCATTTGAATCAAATGAAGGACAACAGTTAACTGATCTTATGGGACTCTTTGGGGAATTTCCCATGGTAGGCATTTGCTAATGCCAACAAATATTTAGCTTGCTTGTCAGAACTGATTAGCTAATGTATATATACAAAGCAGGCCTTGATTTCTTATTTTAATAAATGATGACACAGTCAAGATTGGACAGATCTAGAGATGCTCATACTCTTACTTGGAGGTAAGAGTGTGGTAATATGGGACAGTGTCAGCCCATGTTTGTCTGGAATAGCTCTAACACTAAGCTCCTGTTAGAAAAGGGGAGAAATGCTCTTGCTTGCTGAGAAGCCTCCTTTTTGCCTTGTATGTGCACTCAGCTTCTGTGTCCATCACTAGCAGTGGGCTTCACTAAGAACGTGTAGATGCATTAGTTTCATAGGTTCTCTATTTTTTTAAAATTATTTTTTTTTTTAATTCTTTCCCACACCTTCCCCGTCTATGTATTTTTTAAAGTGTCATGTGGAACAGGAGAAAGTTGCACTTCCTCTTTCATACATTCATGTTTGCTGAGATTATTCTTCCTAGGAGCATCTCAACTTCTTCATGTACTATTTATTTTAGAGTTATATGATGCTGCTATTCTGACACAAACCAGCCAGACAAAAGATGTCCTGATGCTTGCAATAATAACTTGGGGGCTTTTGCCCTGCTGCTGAAGTTTGCTTTGTCTCCTTCCCTTGTGGGGAAATCGCTCTTCTCGCATCAGCAAGTGCCCTGCGAAGCTTTTCTGACCCTTCCGTACGCCAACGCTAACCTGGGCTATGAAAAAAGGCAGGCCAGCTTTCTTTCTCTCATCAGTTACATTCGGCAAAAAGGCCAAATTAAATGCCAGTTACGTGCCTGCAGCCTTCGCTGACCGAGCACAGGCAGGTGGGGCAGGCAGGCGAGCGCCGAACCACGGAGGTGCCTTGCAAAACCCACCTCTCCCATGCACGGGCGCCCGGCGCAGCTGCACACCCGGTACGCGCAGCCAACACCGGGCACGTTTAAAACCGCCGTCCCGGGGCCGGGTTCCGTGAGGGGACCCCGCGCAGCAACTCGGTCCTGTCTCCATTTCGGAAGGTCACCCTGGCAGAACGTTTCCTGCACTGCAGCAGCGGTACTCGGATTTTAGTAAGGAGGGCGGGTGTGTATCTTTCTGCCCCCCTTCCCCTCCCCGCCAGCAGCCCGCCCGCGCCTCAACACCGTTTCCAGCGACAACCGTGGGGGATCCCAGCTCTCATTGCCCCGAGGTCGCCACTCACCCTCGCAGCTCCATCGCAGCGGCTCTGGAGGCAGGCGGCTACCCGAGTTGTGCTGCGCCGCGCTAAGCCAAAGGCTGCTCGGTTCAGGCCGTTTCCCTTTTTCCCCTCCCACGTCTCCTCCTGACGGGGATTTCCGCCTTCCGTGCGCACCCGCGGCCGGCTCTGCTAGTGGGTCGGCACCCGCGCAGCTGACAAACCTCGGCTCTAGCCTCGTGGGGCGGCTGAGATCCCCCTTGTCCCTGCCACGCCGGGAGCTGAGGTGCGGGACTCCGGCTCCGGGGTGATTCAGTCCCGACGCTCCATTCCGGCTGTACGGAGGGTGTCAGGCCGCCGCCCGTCGCCACTGACACCTTCCCGAAGGCTCATCGGTACTTACTCCGCGAAGGCGTCGGCCCCTGCGGGGAGGCCACGCTTGCCCCATCAGACAGGAGCCCTTCACCGCTGGGTCTGGGCGCTGCTGGAGGCGACGTGGGGAGTCAGGGCTGGACACTGGCTTTTGTGATAGCAGCGTCTTTTTGGCCCTGTGAGGCGGTGCAGCCCCACTGCGCCATTTGGGGTGTGTGTGTGGGGGTGAGGCAGAGTCCTGCAACCCGGCAGCATCCCCAGCCCTTTGCACAGAGCTGTGCTTCAAAATACATTTCAAAAGGCATCAGGTTTGTGATTGTGTAATTAATTACTAACCCTAAATGTGATCTGATCCGGTGCCTGTCTGCGTCTGAAGATGTAGAAGATAAGAATTGACGCAATCATGTTAATAATGGGTGCTGTAACAGTAGTCAGCTAATAGAAAGCTCTAGTTGGCGTTTGCCAACAGTGTTCATGTTTGGCTTGTTGACTGCCAGGCTCCTCTACCCAGCTGGGACTCCTTTGCTGACATGAACCTTGGTGACATGCACTGCAAAGCTGTCACTGACATTCTGCAAACAAATGCCACAGTGACTGTCCTTAAAGAAGTTTGTCACTTTAATACTTTATTTGGTCGTAGTTCTGAGTCACCCTGGGTATAGCAATTACTCTGTACCCTGTGAAGGAGAAACTCCAGGGTTGTGCAAGACATGGAGGTCTTGGTACCGTTCAGGCTCTCGATGCTGTCAGCAAGAAGGGAGCTCCCGCATTTGAGTCTTGAAGTCAACATGACTTTAGTCTGCATATTGCCAATAGGCTGCAAATCAGTGATCAGTTTGAGAGGGGAGACTTAAATTTACAGTAGATTTTAAGGAAGTTAAGCATTCCTGTGGAATTATGGCTGAATCGGAACATGTTGGCAGCAACTAATTCACATCTTTCACTGAAATATTCCCTGGCAGAATATCTTGGTTCAGGAAACTACTCTTTTGATGTTTATGCTGTTTTAATAACATACACTTGGTGAACAGGGATGCACATGGAATCAGTTCTTTATGACTAAAACCTTCGTGACTCTAAAAGCCTGTGGCTTAACTTTATGGGTAAATTTTTAGAGTTCTGGATATAAATTTGTTCTTTTTAAAATGTGTAGCTTGAGTGCACTCTGCTGATGTACTTTGCAATGGTTTCTATCATGCTCTTTTCATACATGATGAATAGGAACCGCCTATTACCATACATGAATACCTTGCTTATTCTGAAAATGCTTTCCACCAAAACTGGAAGGCAGATGTGTTCATAGCCAGGAGACTCTTTGAGATTTGGAAAGGTCAAGTGCAAACCTCTTTTCTGCCCCCACCAGGCTTTTGAATCTGCATTGCCTGAAATCTCTTATTAGTTTTTAATTTAGAAGGCAACTTTGCTTTCCATTTGCCTTCCGAATTGTGTTTCATTAAGGCCCAGCCTTAGGCAGATCCTAAGTTGCTCCTACCTGCAGAACGCCCAGAGGGCTTGAAATATAAGGATATTCTTCTGCCAGTGGTTTCATTCCTATAGCACATGCTGAACAGTTGTGTGGTTTATAAAAGCAGGCTCTCACTGCCAAATCGCTGCCATTGCATCTAAGATGTGCCTTGGTGAGTTCTCCACTATTTCTTTCCAAACAAGGAAAGGAGCAGCAGCTGTAGGGAAGGGTCGCTGCGGTTGATGTAGCTTCTTCTATTTGGGGTAAATTGCAATAAATTTTTATTCTTTTAGACATATATTTGTTAATGTGTTACTTATTAGCAATAAGTCAGGATATTTGGCTTAGGGTCAAAATACAGACCTTAGGTACATGATCTTTCCCCTACAAGTATTACATCAAAGATAAGATGAACAATAAGTGGCAAGGGTATTTGAAAAGCCTAGGTGAAAAGTTTTCATCAAAGATGTGGCTCCTTATCCCTGCTATCATATGCATATAGCAAAATTCAGTCAGGAAAGCACCTGTGCAGGTTATCTGGTGCAACCTCTACCTCAAAGAAGGGCCAACTTCAAACTTATGTGTCAAACCTACTACTAAAATGTGGTTCAAAGTTGCTACTGCTGCTTCCGCATGGCTCTGAAAGTTCTGATAAGACTTTCTTTTTATCAGAGAATACTGTGAATTTTACCAGCAGTTGTCTTCATTTCCTGAGGTCTAGTTTAAGTCATGCAAAAATGTATACTTATTTTATTTTGTTAAAGAAGCTGTAAAATAGGATAGTCACAAGGCAAATCACATGTAAAGCCATCTGATCAGGCTTCTAAAATCACAGCGCTTATGACAGGAAAGATGGGTCTTGGCTTCAGAAAATCAAGTTGTTTGAGGTTGTTAGAGTGCAAAACGTATTCCAGTTGTGGTACATAGGTGCAATCTTTGGTAGTTGCTGCACTCTCATTTAGAGCCATAGAAGTGGATCAAAGAAGATCCTTATTTTCCCTCCTCCTGTGTGCATGTCTGCACGTGTATGTGTCTCAGTGAGACTTCTCTGTGAGAGAGAGGTAAAGACAGCTGAGCTCGTAGAGTGTTTGTAATAAAACCCCCTTATCGTTGAGAGTTAATTTGTTCTGTCTTATGTGTGTCTGCATCACTTGATGCAATTAAATGAAGGCATTTAAGGCTGTCAGAAGAAAGTAACTCCTATAGCTTGTGTGTGGCAAATATATTGCCTATGGGCTTTGAAACTAAAAATACTGTGAAGAACTGGGAGGAAGAAGGGAAGGAGGGAGAGAAAAGAGGAGGAAAATTACATTATAATTTTTCCAGGCTGTGAGATCGAGAAGTGATCTACATACCAGAGTGCTGATAGTTTTCAAGCGGGTGTCACACAAAGCGAACAGCTATATCTGCAAAACAGACATCTTCAGTGGCAAGCTCATTAATGCAATTATTGAGAATTCAGAGAGACTGACTAGATTTTGTGAAACAGAGACATACCTTTCTCTACATGTCTACGTAGAAAAAAGAAAATCTCAGACATATTGAGTACCCTTGGGGACAGCTGAAAAATGGGTGATGACTCTATGTGATGTGGAGGATTTAAACCATTTCTGGAGTAGGAAAGCATGAAAGAAATGAACATAAAATTAGTAGCGGAGGATGACTGAAAGCTGAAAATTTTTTAAGGTGGCTAGAACATGTCACCCATTTGAAAATCATATGCCTGTGTCATTAGCAGTAGGCACAATGGCATGGTGACAAAACCAAAGAGAGAGGTAGGTTTGCTGGTTGGTTGCCTGCACTGAACCCCTTCCCATCATGCACAAGCAGGGGCAATAAAATAACATCCAAACTTAAATATATGATGAAGGCACAGCAAGTCTGCAGCAGGCAACGGAGACACAGTTAAACAGATTAAAAAGGAGTACCTAGAGTAGAGACTACTCAAACTTTCATGTACCATGTTTTAAACAGGTACACTGTGTTGATGAGCAGAATGATCCAGCTCACACACTGCATCTAACTGGAGAACAACTGAGGATAGCTAATAAAGCTTGGAGTGATATTATGTAGAGTGGGTTTTGTGGGCTTACCCCTGTATACAGAAGAATAAAAATCTACAGCTAATTTTCACAGGACCAGAAGAAGTATTTGGAAAACCAAGAGCTAACTTCTTTGGTCCTAATTGACCTTCATTTTAAGCCAGAAAAATTGTACCCTGCTATTATCAGCAATGGCCTCACTGGCATTAGCTGGACAGGATTCATTCACTATGAGGGGAGAAGTACTCTGGTGCATTACATATCAAAGTGTAATTAAAAGGATGGAAAATACCTGCAAATGAGATTGCAGTGGAGGAAAAAGAGCAAATGCTGATTATCAGTCTTCAATGTAAAGCAATAAAGTGCTACAGCCTACCCAGCGTGGGTTATGGTGCTTGTGTGTTCTCTGTCATGTTTGGCTGGTGTGCTAAACACCTAAACTAACACCTACCAAACAACTATAAAACAATTTTTTTCCTTCATTTTGGTATGTCACCTGCACAGAGGATATAACAGATGAAGCAGCAGAAATTGATGGAAAGACTAAAAGTAGTCATAGAGCAAGTAAGCTAATACATTAGAAATAAGAGGCAAAAGGCATAATCCAAATAATGCAAATTAGTAGAGCAACCAAAAATAGCCTTGCAAAATGGACTGAACATTGCCTTAAGGATCACAGTCCTCCTTTGTTCTTGGAAAATATCTAGAAGTAGCGCTTGAAGCAGCAGATCACTGCTGCTGTGGAAGAGCAGTCCATATTGAGCATACTGATGCCTGACAAGCAAAATCATATTCAAATGGAATAGGAATCATGTGGGCCTCTTGTTATTTCATCAGTAGATGTATGACTGTCCTGTGACATTTGAAATATACCAAATCCCTGTGGAATGGTTTCCACAAATCTCTGGCTTTTGCACTGTGGAGATTCTATGGCATGACACTAAAACACAGTATGAACTGCAACAGAGAAAAGAGAAAAATCACAGTAGCTCTGGCCTCTTGTACAATTTTATGTATGGGGTAAAGAGCAAAATGAAGTATGAGGTGTGAATGATTTTCCAACACTTTTTCTTCATCTACAAAATAGCTGTAAGAAGTAGCAAGTGTAAGAGAGAGATTACCTCTTAAAAGTAGATGGTGAAGGGATGACAGTTTGTACGAAACGAGATAGTTTTGTTGACTAGTGGAGACATCAGGAGTAAAACAGCAAAGCTGACCACTGAGAACAGACTAGAGATGAAATCAGGGAAAAGATGTGATTTCAAATAGCATGTTTTATGATTCTGAGAAGATCCTTT